AAAATCTTCTGAGTTATGCTCCTTGTTTTTAAATGCTAGCTATGTAACTATGGCAAATTGGTTAAGCTCTTGTCTCATTTCCTCAGCAGTCAGATGGGGATATGGAATGATCTATCTCATAATCAAGAGGGTTTTATATATATAGTAGTGCTTGGCAACACAGTAAGCTTTATATAAATACAGATATTATAAATACTATTATCATAAATGTATAAATTCCTCTAAGATATAAGATTAGGAGTAGAACTGCTGTTAGGTAAGATATGCATTTTAAAAACAAACCTGTTCTTTATTTTGTCTCTATTTTCTTTAGTCTGTCAGTCTCCCCCCCCAACCTCTGCTTCTTTCATATCTATCTAGGATTCTGTTAGCACATTTTTAATATTGTGAACCTCAATTGTAGTGCTTTGTGATTGTTGTGTCAGTAATGGGTAAGCATGTCAAAGAAGAAGAGCAAATCCAGTTGTGTAGATCATTCATTCCCCAAGGCGGGCAGATTGGATTAAGGATGCAATGAGAGTAGCTTCTTTCTGCCAGGCACAAGGCTCTTTTTATCTCGGCACAGCTTGTAAAGTGTTTTGCTTCCCACTCTGTCTCCTTTGGAGATGTCACAGACAATGACGGTGAATGGGCTAATCTCATTTTCTTCTTACTTCCTTCTTCACCCAGCTCTTCCCTTCACCTGTACTATTCCCATGCACACATTCCTTTAACCGACAGACAAAATATTTTAGCTACTTATTGCTTACTATTTGCTGCCTTCTAACCACATTATCTTTCTCTCATTCTTTTTACTTCTGTTTCAAGAAATGTCCCTATGTCCTTTATTCTTTCTTAGCGTATTCCCTGCAACCCCTTGTTTTACTAGAAATCTGGTTTTCCTTGTATGATGCTGTTTTCCTTTTCTCTTTGTAGCCTAGTTGTTCTGAATAGGTGAAGTCAGTGTGAGACAGTGAAATTAATTGAGAATGAGTTATTTATTTATTTATAGTTATTTGTTTATTTAATAAAAACTTTTATTTGCTCTTTTTAAAATATACATGACAATAGAGTGTATTTTGACATACACATACATGGAGTATAATTTCCCATTCTTGTGGTTGTACATGATGATGTGGAGTTACACATGGTGGTGTATTCATATATGAACATAGGAAAGTTATGTTTAATTCATTCTACTGCCTTTTCTTTCCCCATCCCCACTCCCTTCCTGCTTCCCTTCATTCCCCTTTTGTCTAATCCATTGAACTTCTGTTCTCTTCCACCCTTATTGTGTGTTAGCATTCCCATATCAAAGAGAACATTTGGCCTTTGTTTTTCTGGACTTGGCTTATTTCACTTAGCATGATAGTGTCCAGTTCCATTCATTTACTGGCAAATGCCATAATTTTATTTTTCTTTATGGTTGAGTAATATTCCATTTTTTTGTGTGTTTGTGTGTGTGTGTGTGTGTGTGTGTGTGTTTGTATGTATAATTTTCTTTACCCATTTATTTGTTGAAGGGCACCTATGTTGGTTTCATAGCTTCGCTGTTGTGAATTGAGCTGTTATTAAACATTGATGTAGCTGCATCAGTATGCTAATTTTAAGTCCTCTGGGTATATACCGAGGAGTGAGATAACTGGGTCAAATGGAAGTTCCATTCCAAGTTTTCTGAGGAATCTGTATATTGCTTTCCAGAGTGGTTGCACCAATTTTCAGTCCCACCAGCAATGTATGAGTTTGCCTTTCTCTCTACAACCTCATCAACATTTATTGTTACTTGTATTGTTGATAACTGCCATTCTGACTGGAGTGAGATGGAATCTCAGTGTAGTTTTAATTTGCATTTCTGTAATTGCTAGAGATGTTGACCATTTTTTCATGTATTGGTTGATTGATTGTATTTTTCCTTCTGTGAAGTGCCTATTTAGTTCCTTTGTCCATTTATTGATTGGGTTATTTGTGTTTTTTTTTTTTTTGGTTTTAAGTTTCTTGAGTTCTTTATACATGCTGGAAATTAATGCTGTATCTGAGGTGCAGATGGCAGAGATTTTTCTCCCATTCTGTAGGCTCTGTCTTCACATTATTGATTGATTGTTTCCTTTGCTGTGAAGAAGCTTTTTAGTTTGTTACCATCCCATTTATTGATTCTTGATTTTACTTGTGCTTTAGGAGTCTTGTTGGAAGTCAGTTCCTAAGCCAACCTGATGGAAAGTTAGGCCTACATTTTCTTCTATGAGGCACAGGGTCTCTGGTCTAATACCTAGGTCTTTGATCCACTTTGAGTTTCGTTTTGTGCAGGGTGAGAGATAGGAGTTTAACTTCATTTTGCTACATATGGGTTTTCTGTTTTCCCGGCACCATTTTGGGGGCTGTTATTATTAAAGCTGCTATTAATATTTATGTAAAAATCTTCATGTGGACATATGTTGTCATTTTATCTAGGAATAGAATTTCTAGGTCCTATAGTAAACTGTCAACCTAAATAAAAGAGAGAAATTTTCCAAAGAATAATGTTATTTATTTCGGGGATAGCAGAGCATTGTAATAGGAATATACACGCCATAGTAATCTATTGGTGTATTCAAGGAGACTGAGGCAAGGAGAATATTTTAGAGGCAAAAATGAGGAGGATTATGTAAGATATTTTGGAACAACCATGTTTGGCCACAGGATTAATAATAAGAATGGTGCCAGTACAAGGCTGAACAGAAAATTGCTGGGCAGATGTCCTTGTAGAAGTATTTTTTGTGGAAGGTTGTGGTCTTGGTAGAGTCTTTGTGATAGTTACTATTAGACATTTGCCTGTGAAAACCCTTTCTTCATATCCTCCTGGTTTTTCAAAAAATGTTTTTCTTCACATTTTTTGATCCGGAGCATTATTGTTGTACATAATGGTGGGATTTGTTGTTACGTATTATAACATGCATACAATATAACAATATAATTTGGCCAACATACCTCCCTAGTACTTTCTCCCCCCACTGGTTCCCTTCCTCTATTCTATTGATCTCTCTTTGCTTTTCATGTGATTACCCTCCCCCTGCCCAACTGTTCTTTCCCTTTTTCCTTTTGAACTTGAGAGAAAAGACATGATCCTTGACCTTCTGAATTTGACTTATTTCACTTAACATAATGGTCTTAAGTTCCACTCATTTTCCTGCAAATGACTTAATTTCATATTTCTTTATGATTGAGTAAACCTCCATTGTGTATATATACCACATTTTCTTTATCCATTCATCTGTTGATGGACAACTAGGCTGTTTCCATAGTTTGGCTGTTGTGAATTGTGCTGTTATACATGGTTATGCATGTATTGCTATAGTATGCTGACTTTAACTTTTTTAGGCTAAATACTGAAGGATGGTATAGATGGGTCATGTAGTGGTTCCATGACTAGTCTTTTGAGGAAACTGCATACTGATTTCCATAGTGTTGAAATAATTCACAGTCCCACCAGCAATACAAAAGTGTTCCTTTTTCTCCACATCCTCTGTGGCATTTATTACTGTTTGTATTCTTAATGACTGCCATTCTGACTGGTATGAGATGAAATCTCAGTGTAGTTTTGATTTGCATTTCCCTAATTGCTAATAATGTTTATTATTTTTCTTTATATATTTGTTGGCTAGTTGTATTTCTTCTTCTGAGAAGTTTCTGTTCAATTCATTCACTCATTTATTAATTGTTTTTATTTTGTGGTTCTAAGTTTTTTGAGTTCTTTATTATAGGTATTAATCTGTCAGAGGAGTAGCTAGCAAAGATTTTCTCCTGTTCTTTGAGTTTTCTCTTTACATTTTTGTTTCCTTTGCTTTGCAGAAGCTTTTTATTTTGATGTCACCCCATTTATTAACTTTTGGCATTATTTCCTAAGCTCTAGGGGTCCTATTGAGAAGGTCATTGCTTGTGCCCATATACCGGATTGTTGAGCCTACGTTTTCTTCTAAGAGTTGCATTGTTTCTGGTCTAATTTTTAGGTCTTTGATCCATTTTGAGTTGATTTTTGTGCAGGGTGAGAGATAAGGGTATAGTCTCATTCTTCCACATATGGATAACCAATTTTCCCAGCACCATCTGTTCAAGAGGCTGTCTTTTCTCAAGTGTATGTTTTTGGCACCTTTGTCAAGGGTCAGATGACTTGAGATGTGTGGGTTCCTCTCTGTGTATTCTATTTTTGTATCATTGCTCTAGGTGTCTGTTTTTATGCTAGTACCATGCACTTTTGGTTACTATGTCTCCAGCATTGCTTTGTTTTTTTGGAATTGCTCTGGCTATTCTGCGTCTTTTATTTTTCCAAGTGAATTTTAGGACTTTTTTTTCTAGTTATGTGATGAATATCACTGATATTTTGATAGGGATTGCACCAAATCTGTATAGTGCCTTTGGTAGTATGGCCATTTAAACAATATTAATTCTGCTTATCCATGAGCATGGGAGGTCTTTCCATCTTCTTGTATCTTCTTCAATTTCTTTCTTCAGTGTTCCATAGTATTGTAGAGTTCTTTTACCTCCTTGGTTAGATTTATTCCTAGGTATTTTTATTTTTCAAGCTATTATGAATGGAATTATAATGAGATTTCTTTCTCAGCAGATTCATTGTTGGTAAATAGGAAAGCTATTGTATGTTGGTTTTGTAACCCTATATTGCTGAATTTTTATTAGCTCTAGCAGTCTTATGGTGGATTTTTTTTTTGATTGTCTCTGTTTAGGATAATGTCATCTACAAATAATGCTAATTTGACTTTTTCCTTTTCTATTTTTATCCCTTTTATTTACTTCTCTTACCTAATTGTTCTGGCTAGCATTTCTAGCACTGTATTAAATAGGAGTGGTGAAAGTGGACATTTTTCCCATTTTCAAATTAAATTGTCTTATAAGATTTAAAAACTTTTCAGATATTCTGAGTTGTTTATGAAGAATAGGACTTCAGGAAATAGGTTATTCTTGTTAGTTTTTAGTTTGACCACCTATGTGAGAGAAATGGAATGAAGCAGAGATGAGACAAAACTCAGTATTTGATCACCATTTATGTATTGTTAATTTTAATGTAATACAGTTATTTGAATCCAAAGACTTAAAACAAACACATTACAATCAAACCAAAGAACCATATATATAACTGTGACAGTCTTCCTTTCCAGTTGGGTATTGATGATATTTCCCTACATGGAAAGGATAGTAAATGACAGGAGGAATTATATTTCTATTTTATAGCACCTCTAAAGTTTTCTAGTTCAGAACAACTTCACAGAAATAGAAGCCAAGATCGTTCTTGCTGACCCAAAATAAAGCCCACATTTGGATCATTTGATCCTGAACTGATCCATCTCTGCTCTTTAAGAAATAATCTTTCTGGGCACAGTGGCCCATGCCTGTAATTCCAGCTATTGGGGAGGCTGAGGCTGGAGAATCACAAGTTTGAGGCTGGCTTAGTGAAGACCCTGTCTCAAAATAAAATTTAAAAAGTTGGGGTGGGAGGGCATTTGGGGATGTAGTTCAGTGATAGAGTGCTTGCATTGCATGTGTGAATCCCTGTGTTCAATCCCTAGTATGTTAAAACAAAACAAAACAAAACAAATCATACTCTTGCTTGTTGGCTAGGGAGAAACATTTGGAGCAACTTTTTAATGCCACTGATTAGTACTGGTATACCCCAAAATAGGGGTTTGGTGGTTTTGAGAAACAAAGAAGCTACCAAGGCTGCATCTTTGTTTTTGTGTTTCTGCTACTGTTTAGTGTAGGTTACACCAAAAATTAGAGTATGTATTGCTTTAATAGAAAGATTTGGCTCCAGGACTAGCAATGCTTTTATACTATATAGCATTATAAAGCTACAAGCTTTGTTTTGGAATCATCTCTAATTAAATAATGACCTCTCAAAGATACCTTAACTAAATCCCATACTCTTAAATACTTTTGCTTTATTTTGAATTTAACCCGCAACACTAATCATTTATTCAACCAAATATTTCCTAACAGAGTTAGCCTAAATATCCTACATTCTTTGGAAGGAATGCATAATAAGGAATAGAGTACATTATAGCTTTAAGAGAAAAGAATAGAAAAAGATATATCTACTTTGAGAAAGAAATTTCATGAGTTGCTTATCTGCAAATTTTTCATTTCTTAAATTGCTATTTGAGTTATTTTAACTTCTGTTTATTATTCATTCTTAGAATTAGCACCTCTGCTCTTGGACATATTCATAAAGTGGAGTGCTACTATTAAAACTATGAGAATTTGAACCTAAACTTCCCCCTCCATAGTTACTTACTCTTCCTCTTTGATAGCAGTAGCCACCTTGTCTATTGTCCTCATTGTATAATGGCAGTGTATTGGTAGTATTGGATCTAGACTGTTCATAACAGGGTGTAAATTGTTCAAAGGTACAACCTGAGGAACTTTCTGCTGGTCTATAACTGCTTCTTGATTGTCCTTCATTATAATTTGAATGGTTACAGTTTGATTCACACTGGTTTCCACATCTCCCTTGTGATTCATGTTGCTCATAACTAGAACACTGACTGGGTCCAGAGCTACATGATCCAGATCTAGATGAGTGACATGAGCCATACTCATATTGTTGAGAGCTAGAGCACAGACCAGATCCAGAACGACATTGTCCAGAGATAGATGAGGGACAAGAACCAGACACATACGGTTTAGAACTAGAACACTGACCAGATCCAGAATAAGGTTGTGCAGATATAGAGGAAGGACGTGAACCAGACCCATATTGTTGAGAGCTACAACTCTGACCTGAGCCAGATCCAAATTGGCTGTGGCTAGAATAATGACTTGAGGCAGATCTCTGCTGGCCAGAGTTAGAAGACTGATTTGAACCATACCCATGTTGACCATAGTGGGAAGATTGACTTGAGCTGGACCAAGGTTGGTCATGGCATGATGACTGTCCTGCTATTGAACCCTGTTGTCCATAGCCAGAAGTTTGATCTAAGCCAGATCTATTCTGACTAAAGCCAGAAGAACCTCCTGAACAAGATTCATGTTGACCAAAGCCAGAAAATTCTCCTGAGCCAGATATTTGTTGCCCCAAACTGGAAGATTGACTTGATCCAGACCCATGCTGAAAGCTAGAAGACTGACCTGAGCCAGACCTGGGTTGACCAAAACCAGAAGACTCTATTGAACCAGGCCCATGTTGCCTATGAATAGAAGACTGGCCAGATTCAGCTGTGTGTTGTCCATAGCTAGAAGACTGACTTAAACCAGATCTATGCTGACCATAACTGGAAGACTGTCCTGAGCTGGAGCCATGTTGGCAACAGCTGGATGACTGTCCTGAGTATGAGCCATGTTCTCCATTACTAGAGGACTGGCCTAAGCCAGTTCCATGGTGACTAAAGCTAGAGGACTCTCCTGAACCAGACCCTTGTCCAAAATGTGAAGACCCTCCTGAACCAGAACTGTGGTGCCTCTGCCTAGAAGTTTGACGTGATCCAGATATGTGCTGGCCACAGCTGGAAGACTGACTTAACCCAGACCCATGCTGTCCATAGCTGGCAGACTGACCTGAGCTGGATCCATGTTGGCCACAGCTGGATGACTGTCCTGAGTATGAGCCATGTTGTCCACTACTAGAGGACTGACCTAAGCCAGTTCCATGGTGACTAATGCCAGAAGACTCTCCTGAGCCAGACCCTTGTCCAACACTTGAAGACCCTCCTGAACCAGAACTGTGGTGCCTCTGCCTAGAAGATTGTCTTGATCCAGATCTGTGCTGGCCATACCTGGAAGACTGACTTAACCCAGACCCATGCTGTCCATAGCTGGCAGACTGACCTAAGCTGGACCCATGTTGGCCACAGCTGGATGACTGTCCTGAGTATGAGCCATGCTGTCCACTACTAGAGGACTGGCCTAAGCCAGTTCCATGGTGACTAAAGCTAGAGGACTCTCCTGAACCAGAGCCTTGTCCAAAATTTGAAGACCCTCTTGAACCAGAACTGTGGTGCCTCTGCCTAGAAGTTTGACTTGATCCAGATCTGTGCTGGCCATAGCTGGAAGACTGACTTAACCCAGACCCATGCTGTCCATAGCTGGCAGACTGACCTGAGCTGGACCCATGTTGGCCACAGCTGGATGACTGTCCTGAGTATGAGCCATGCTGTCCACTACTAGAGGACTGGCCTAAGCCAGTTCCATGGTGACTAAAGCTAGAGGGCTCTCCTGAACCAGAGCCTTGTCCAAAAATTGAAGACCCTCCTGTACCAGAACTGTGGTACCTCTGCCTAGAAGATTGTCTTGATCCAGATGTGTGCTGACCATAGCTGGGAGATTGAGCTGAGCTGGACCCATGTTGTTCACAGCTTGATGACTGTCCTGAGTATGAGCCATGTTGTCCACTACTAGACGATTGACCTAAGCCAGACCCATGTTGATTAAAGCCAGAAGACTCTCCTGAGCCAGACCCTTGTCCAAAATTTGAAGACCTTCTTGATCCAGAACTATGGTGCCTCTGCCTAGAAGTTTGACTTGATCCAGATCTGTGCTGGCCATAGCTGGAAGACTGACTTAACCCAGACCCATGCTGTCCATAGCTGGTAGACTGACCTGAGCTGGACCCATGTTGGCCACAGGTGGATGACTGTCCTGAGTATGAGCCATGTTGTCCACTACTGGAGGACTGCTCTAAGCCAGTTCCATGGTGACTAATGCCAGAAGACTCTCCTGAGCCAGACCCTTGTCCAACACTTGAAGACCCTCCTGAACCAGAACTGTGGTGCCTCTGCCTAGAAGTTTGGCTTGATCCGGATCTGTGCTGGCCACAGCTGGAAGACTGACTTAACCCAGACCCATGCTGTCCATAGCTGGCAGACTGACCTGAGCTGGACCCATGTTGGCCACAGCTGGATGACTGTCCTGAGTATGAGCCATGCTGTCCACTACTAGAGGACTGGCCTAAGCCAGTTCCATGGTGACTAAAGCTAGAGGACTCTCCCGAACCAGTCCCTTGTCCAAAACTTGAAGACCCTCCTGAACCAGAACTGTGGTGCCTCTGCCTAGAAGATTGTCTTGATCCAGATCTGTGCTGGCCATAGCTGGGAGACTGAGCTGAGCTGGACCCATGTTGTTCACTGCTTGATGACTGACCTGAGTATGAGCCATGTTGTCCACTACTAGAGGACTGACCTAAGCCAGTTCCATGGTGACTAATGCCAGAAGACTCTCCTGAGCCAGACCCTTGTCCAACACTTAAAGACCCTCCTGAACCAGAACTGTGGTGCCTCTGCCTAGAAGTTTGGCTTGATCCGGATCTGTGCTGGCCACAGCTGGAAGACTGACTTAACCCAGACCCATGCTGTCCATAGCTGGCAGACTGACCTGAGCTGGACCCATGTTGGCCACAGCTGGATGACTGTCCTGAGTATGAGCCATGCTGTCCACTACTAGAGGACTGACCTAAGCCAGTTCCATGGTGACTAAAGCTAGAGGACTCTCCTGAACCAGAGCCTTGTCCAAAACTTGAAGACCCTCCTGAACCAGAACTGTGGTGCCTCTGCCTAGAAGTTTGACTTGATCCAGATCTGTGCTGGCCACAGCTGGAAGACTGACTTAACCCAGACCCATGCTGTCCATAGCTGGCAGACTGACCTGAGCTGGACCCATGTTGGCCACAGCTGGATGACTGTCCTGAGTATGAGCCATGCTGTCCACTACTAGAGGACTGGCCTAAGCCAGTTCCATGGTGACTAAAGCTAGAGGACTCTCCTGAACCAGTCCCTTGTCCAAAACTTGAAGACCCTCTTGAACCAGAACTGTGGTGCCTCTGCCTAGAAGATTGTCTTGATCCAGATCTGTGCTGGCCATAGCTGGGAGACTGAGCTAAGCTGGACCCATGTTGTTCACAGCTTGATGACTGTCCTGAGTATGAGCCATGTTGTCCACTACTAGAGGATTGACCTAAGCCAGACCCATGTTGATTAAAGCCAGAAGACTCTCCTGAGCCAGACCCTTGTCCAAAATTTGAAGACCTTCTTGAACCAGAACTGTGGTGCCTCTGCCTAGAAGTTTGACTTGATCCAGATCTGTGCTGGCCATAGCTGGAAGACTGACTTAACCCAGACCCATGCTGTCCATAGCTGGTAGACTGACCTGAGCTGGACCCATGTTGGCCACAGGTGGATGACTGTCCTGAGTATGAGCCATGTTGTCCACTACTGGAGGACTGCTCTAAGCCAGTTCCATGGTGACTGAAGCTAGAGGACTCTCCTGAACTGGATCCTTGTCCAACACTTGAAGACCCTCCTGAACCAGAACTGTGGTGCCTCTGCCTAGAAGATTTTCTTGATCCAGATCTGTGCTGGCCATAGCTGGGAGACTGAGCTGAGCTGGACCCATGTTGTTCACTGCTTGATGACTGTCCTGAGTATGAGCCATGTTGTCCACTACTAGAGGACTGGCCTAAGCCAGTTCCATGTTGATTAAATGCAGAAGACTCTCCAGATGCAGACTGTTGTTGAGCAGAACCAGAAGACTCACTTGACCCACAACCATGCTGACCGTAACTAACAGATTGACCTGAGGTAGACTCATGGTGTTTCTGACTAGAACATAGGCTTGAGCCACTTCCATATTTTCCATAATTAGAGGATTGGCCTGATCCAGAGCTATGCGTTTGTCTCGTAGAACTCCCCGACTGACAGCCTGAATTGGATTCATGGTATTTTTCCCTGGAAGAAATGCTGGATCCATACCCACATTGTTCATAGTCAGAAGACTCTCCAGATCCAGTCTCTAGGTGACCGTGGCTAGTATGCTTTCCCAAGCGAGACCTCTCGTGACCAAAGACAGAGGTCTGACCTGTGCCAGAGCCATGCTTTTGTCTTCTGTCACTTTCTGATGAATGAGTATAGCTGCTTCTGTGTTTTCTCTGAGTAGAGGACCGATAGGAGCTTGATCGATTTTTGTCACTGCTTATGGACTTGCCTGATGCAGACCTATATTCTTCATTGCTTGAGGACTGTCTTGATCCAGAACCATATTTTTCTTGTTGCCTGTATTCTGATATACCACTTGAGCTTGATCTAGGTTGCCTTTGACTAGAAGAATGACTAAAGCTAGAGCCCTGTTGTTCATATCGTGATGACTGATCTAAATCAGATCCATCTTGTTCACAACTTGATGACTTGCCTGAGCTAGATCCCTGATTTTGTTTTTCCCAACTCCTTGACTCACTTGAGCTGGATGTATGTCTTCTTTTACTAGGGGGATGACCTGAGCTTGACCTATATTTTCCATAACTGGAAGACTCACTTGAACTGGAATAGTATCCTTGTTCTTCACAGTTACCTGATTGAGATTCTACATTTGGTTCATGCCATCTCTGTTGAGAGGGCTGGCCTGAGCTAGACTCATTAGCATAACCAGAATGGTCATTTGAGTTTGACCCGTAGTCTTGTCCTTCATAACTCCCTGAGCTGAATCCATGATACTTCCTACCAGAGGACAGGCCTGATTTCTTATTATGTTGTTTATTCCCTAAAAATTCTTTTGGGTTGGCTCTTTCTTGCTGATGAGTACCATGCTTATTGTTTTCACTGTGCTCAAAGTGGCTTGAACTTGAGTCTTTCCTTTCCCCAGAGCTTTGCCAGTGCCCAGAATTAGACAAAATTCCTTGTTCCTTCAATTTTCTGGATGTGAACCTAGGCCTGTGTTTAATGTTTCCTCTAGAGCTCTTGGAATAGGAATCATTCTCTTCTGCACTTGAACTTGAATAATTGGAAGAGGATTCTTGCCATTTGTCTTTCTCTTCTTCTGTTTCACTCTGTTCCTCTTGGTGCTGGTGACTGTGATCTCTCTGCTTCGACCCTGAAGCTTGGCAGTAATCTTTGCCAATGATTTTATTACAAGCCTTAGTCAGCTTGAATATCATCAGAAGATATTCAGTAAAATCCACTTTGTTGTTGTGGTCTTGATCCAGACTTTGCATGATGATATCTACAGTGTCTGGATCATTTGGATTCTGTATAGGAACAAGGTACAGAGGGCAGCTCTGTCAGTATGGACTACACACTCAGTTAACCAATTGAAGGAAAACTGTAGAAATGTGAGTGGTTGGCATATTTAGGTGGAGCTCAACCATGTAGTCCTTTGGGCTAGATTACTCCCAAAGAGAAAGGAATATGCAATGAATAATGCAGAGAGAAATAGTTAGAAGGGGATACAACTGAAAGATGAAAGGGAAACAATTATTGTTGGTAGAAGAATGGTCAAATAGGAACATTTTGGATTCCCATATTAATCATATGTGGCTTTTCTTTATATGTCAAATTTAATAGTTAACTAATTAATTTATTCATTCAAGAAAGATTTATTGTATACTCTTATCTGCCTAGCATTGTGTTATATGAGGAAATAAAGCAGTGAACAAGTTTGGATCTGACAAAATGAAATTTAAAGTTAAGTGGGTCAGATACACCAACTTATAATTTATTGTAATAAAATTTCTATGAGTGGTATCAGAGGGTAACCACTCAGAATCCAAGAAAGGTTAATGAGAGGATGTGTTGCCTTTTGAAGGAAGAATTAAAATAAGCCAAATGAAGGGATAGAAAGGAAAGAAGAGGGTGCAAAAGATTCTTCCAGGCAGAGGGAATGACTTGAACAAAGGGCTAGAGGTGAGAGAAGGTATGGCTCATTCAAAGAACTGAAAGGAAATCCAGATTGCTAGATTTAGAGTTTGAGGACTCAAGAGATGTGACTAGAGAGATATCAGGTCTAGTTTATAACTTTTAAGCCATGTTAAGAAGTTTAGGGGCTGAGGATGTGGCTCAAGTGGTAGCGCGCTCGCCTGGCATGCGTGCGGCCCAGGTTCGATCCTTAGCACCACATACAAACAAAGATGTTGTGTCCGCCGATAACTAAAAAATAAATATTAAAAATTCTCTCTCTCTCTCTTCTCTCCCTCTCTCTTTTAAAAAAAAAGAAGTTTAGGACTTTAGATTATGAGCAGATGGGAGCTGTTGGAGGATTTTGAGTATCAAATGTTGAGATTGGAAGTAGGAAATGGCTTGAACTAGGGGACTAAGAATAGTGATGGAGAGAAATGGGCAGTTTTAAAATCTGTAGATGAACTAGATGGAGGATGGAAGGTGGTGCTGCCTGCTGAGGATGAGGAAATGAAAAATGGCACCAGATTTCTACCTTGGGCAAAAAGGAGGAGGAATGAGTTTAGAACGGAAGACAATGAGATTCATATCTGACACCTGTAATTTAAAACATCTAAAGAATTCCAAATAACAATATTCAGTAGGCAGTTAAATTTAAGGAGTTGAAACTGAACAGCTAAATTTAAGTTCCCAAACAACTTATTTCTAAAACTGACAATTTTAAAGTGGTGCACATTCTTTTTAGTGATTTAGGAGTACAAATGTACTGAATTTAGAGGCCTTATGGTACCAGAATCTTAGAAATGAGCAGTGGTCTAGACATTTCAAAATGAAAAGACAAAGGGAAGGAGATGCATGTCAACTACTTTGCAATTTTTCTGAGAACCATAGGTAGGACATTTTAATATAGGATATTACACCATAGATAGGACATCTAAAAATCTATGTATGTTTTCTATTGTTAAGTAGGTTTATTGACTTTGGTCATGTTATGGAAAGCATATGGTTCAACTTTTGATGGTACCTCAATCCTACCAAACCTAGTTCATTATTACCACGTAGGGTGAATTCTCTAGGATGTTTGGCATATATGACAAAAAGGCAGGAAGTGATGAAGAAGAGAACTGCTAGAAAATTCAGTCCTAACTTGGAGTTCTTACCTTCAGAATTTGGTGAAACTCATTTTCCAAGAGTTCTTTCAGCTCTGCCTTGTTTAACGTGTCACAGTCCCCATGTTGGGTGGTATATTGGTAGAAAACATCAATGACAGTGACAATGCCTTGCAGGAGTTTAGACATCTTTTTTTTTTTCAAATTTAAGTTAACCTAAGGGAGAAAAATATTATTATTATTCTTTTTTATTTAAATATATAAATAGGTCCAATTATTTTAGTAATTATCAGCCGTGATTAATTTTATCCTGTTGTAATCAAGAACTAATCCAGAATTGAGCAACTTGTTCAAGCCACGTAGCAAGAGAGTGATGAAATCAGGAACACAATCCATATCTTATTTCCCTTCCTGAATGAATGTAGGAGCAAAGACTTTCTGTTTTGGACTCTCTGCTTTTAGTAAAGAATATGAGCTTTGTTCTGGAGCTTTAGAAATTCCGTGTGCCAGTTCTTTCACTTACTAGTTTTTTTTTTTGTGTGTGTGTGTGTGTGTATGTGTGTGTGGTGCTGGGGATTGAACCTTGGGTCCTGTGCATATGAGGCAAGCACTCTACCAACTGAGCTATATCCCAATCCCTTATTGTTTTTTTTTTTTTTAAATAGGTCTTAGTCATCACACTTAAGAGACAAGTCTATCATCTATATGGTGTACCTAACTACAGCTAAGGAGCTTCTGTAGCTGAACTGGACCCTCAAGACATCTAGACAAGGGAAAGTAGACATAGTGGGCAATGCCAACCACAGGTGTAGGTAATAAGTTGCTGGGGTGTCTGCTATCAGATTAAGCTTTTGTTTTTATTCTTCAAGCAGTCACTGACCTTTAGGCCATACTGATTGTACAACAAAGAGAAAAAGCTCAGTAGTAAAAGAAACAACCAATCTAATGGATAACTAGATTCCCATGATCTTAATGAAAGATGTCAAAGAAATGAGATACTATTATATAGAGTTTAGTTGTTGCTTCATTTTCCTTCTCAATAAATTTAACTTATACCAAAGTTCCTAATAGTATACTAAAAAGAAGACTGGTATCCAGTGCCTCTTTGCCTTAAAGTATATCCTGGACTTTCATAATTTATAGTCCTAAGTACCCGTGAGTAGAAGAACTTAATCCCTGCTCACTTACCTAGTGCACCAGAGGAACAATAGGATGGAGATTGAAGTAGCTTGCAGGGTGCTTCTAGTTTGGGGATAGAGGCCCTTTTATAATGAAAATAATGGTCATCTTAGGGAGGAGTTGCACTCTTTGAGATGTCCTAATTCACTCCTAAACAAGTCCTGCTCCTTCTCCATCTCCACCTCCCAGATGATTACCTTCTTACTTCCTTACATGTTCACCTGAGATTGCAATAGCAGTTCCCAAATCTGGGCTAGTATCAGCCCCACCTGCCAAAATGTCAGGACACTTTGCAGAAAGGCCTCTGTATATTCACCCAACTATGTAGCACAGTGCATTGACAACAACAAAAAATTGTGCGGACTTTAATGGAAGTTGGATGGAGTATGTGCAGGTACATCAGGGACCAAATGTCAAAGAATCATGGAATTAAATGTTCAAAAGGAACCTTAAAGATCATCTAGGGGCTGGGGTTGTAGCTCAGTGGCAAAGCGCTTGCCTTCGATGTGTGAGGCACTGGGTTTGATCCTCAGCATCACATAAAAATAAATAAACAAAAATAAAGATATTGTATTCATCTATAGCTAAAAAATATTTAAAAATATCATATAGTCATACTCCCATTCTAAGCTAAATTTTCTTATATGAGATTCTCAGTCAGGGTGTTACCCATGATTTTATTATTACCTCTTGGAATGGATAATGGCTGTAGAGGCTCTCCTTTTCATCTGTTTAACTGACTCAGTTTATTTGACATTAGTGACCATTAATCATTGTAGCTTTCATTTGAACAGCCATATAACCTTAGGAAGAAAGGCATGTTCTTAAGCACAGTGTTCAAAATCCCTCATGATCTGGGTTGTGTCTTCTCTCCAACCTCCATTTTCTTTTCTCCAGATTCCCCTTTTTGTTACACTTGTAATTAACTATTTCCACTTTCCTGAATGTATTATATTACTTAATATTTTTTCTTAGAATACCTTTTCTCATTATCTGCCTAATGAAATATTAATTCTTCAATCTACTTTAGCCCCTACCCTGTAGGAAGTTTTTCTTGGATTACTCAAGAAAGAGGTATAAATGATAAATTTGTTCATAATTTTGTAGTTATATTAGTTACACTGTATTGTAATCTTTAAAATTATCTTATTATGCAGTTGATATATATTATAAAAATTAGAAAACATTTTGATAAGTGAAGAAAAGAAAATTCAAATATCTGTAAATATACTAGCCAGAAATAACTACTATTAATTATTTGGCTCACTTTTAATTATTTGATTGACTATTTTTTCACACATACATATTTGTTTATGTGCTTATGTACCTTCCAGACTATGTGCTTCTTGAGAATAGGGAATGGGCATTATTTATCCTAGTATTACTTAGAGACCAAATGTACTACTTGGTACATAAAGGTGTCCAATTAATGTCAGTTTGTGTTGAACTGAAAGAGGAGCAATTTCTTGACTAATAGTCCTCTATGTTGACCAGTTTCTACTTTTTCACAGCCTGCTCTTTCCATATTTATCTCAGAAGACATGATTTCACCTGAATATAAATGGAATCTTAGCCTTGGTAATCAATGAATTGCTCTTTGCTTATCCCTGAAGGCAATTCTCTGCATTTTATCCATTGTGAATGTATAACACAAATTTTAACTAAAGATGAGTGAAGTTACCTAGATTTAAAACTTATTTGTGCAATATGGTCATCAGAGTTTGAGAAGGAGCGGAAGAAACTATTGGCAAATGATAATTACAGGATTTCAAATTCTATCATCATTAGGCTATGTGTTTTCTTCTAAGAACTACCCAGAGGGAGGTAGAGTCAGTATTCATTCTGTAGTCTGTTTCCTTTGGATGCTTGATTTGGGCCAGGTTGTCGTGCTTCATCAGAGCAATGACATTTTTAAAGGTGTGACCAAGACTGTAGGAGTGAAGGGGAGGTGGAATTTGCTGAGCAAAGACTAATTTCCTTGAGGAGTGAGCTGTTGTCTCAGAGAGAGGAAAGGGGTTGCAAGTAAAGACTGCCAGGTGAACATGCCCTTGATATCAGCATTCTCCTAAATGAGGAGATCAACAACCTTTTTCTATAGAGACTAGCTAATAAATATTGATAGGATTTGTGGGCCAGATGGTCTGTCTTGCAACTACTCAACTAACTCTGCTGTTACAGCATGAAAACAGCCGTAGACCATATATGAGTGTGATTGTGTTTCAATAAAACTTATTTATGGAAATTGATCTTTGAATTTTATACAATTTAACATGTCATATATTTTTCAACCAACTACAGATGTAGAGAACATTCTTAGCTTATGGCCTAAAGTTGATGATAAGTTTGAGATAGCTTATTACTTTCTGCTCCTTTATTTACTTTTCAGGAAGATTCTTCAGGAGATGAGAATCTCACGGGTAAGAGAAGGACTAGAAAGTGTGGAACATCAGAGACACTCATTTTTTTGAGAGGTAAAAGGGCACATATCTGTGAATATTGGTATGTGGGGTAGTAGTTTATGATTTCTCTGGTATGTATTCCACAGTTTACAGGGTTGGCATGAAGAGTTTCCCATCATAAGTTTGGTTAGTGGTTTTTCCCTCTCAAAACATTTGGCTTTATGAGAAAATATTTCTTTGGTATGTTTGACGCTCAAGATTTTTCAGTGCCTCCTTTCCATGTGTTGGCAGAAGAAGGGAAATTATGCTCTCTTTTTTGCCAACCACAGTGCTCTGTGTGCTGATGTACATCATTTCATTAATCTTCATAACAATTGCATGACTTAGGTATTATTACCTCCATTTCACAGATGAGAAAACTGAGGCTCAGAGAAAATGTATAACTTGTTTCGTATCACTTAGGTTTTAAGTGGAGAAGAGAAGATTCAAACTTATCTGCTTCTTTCTAGGAATATCCAGGTTCTCATGCCATCTTTGAATACTCACTGTTTCCTGATTGTGTGGATGGCAGAATGATGTGCCTATATCACCATCTGCTGAGTCTAAGGGAAATTCTACATATATTTTTTTCTTCTTTGCTCTTTCTGTCCTTTCCCCCTCATCTTCCATGTTACTTCTGAGAGTTCTTTGTAGCTTAGGCCCTATGAAAACATAGACACAGAGACACACACACACACACACACACACACTCACACTCACACACACACTTACTATTGATGGTCATGATTAAAAGACAGTGTATATTTGTCTTCCTTGGCATTCTCATGTGTTACGTTTAAATTTTAATAATATTATATCAAATTTTTTATTGTTTGGGGATCAATTACAGTGTTAAGCTATATGAAACTTCCATTTTGAAGTTTCTACCCAATTTGATCTTACATATCACTGTTACAGATATATATTAGGTTTGATAGTATCATCAGATCACTGTGACCAATTATAATATCTTAGAGCTATAGATAGAACTTCTAAGGCTCTTGTTTCAGACATAGAAATTGCTAATAACAATCTATAAACTTTTATAAATGCATTTTACTTTTTCTGTTCAATTACCCAACTTTATGAATGATAAGACTGGAAAATGAACCAAACAGGCAGAGAATTAAGGATGGAGCATTGGAGAACAAAACATCCATGTGCAGGCTGTAGTAGAGGAACCCTGCAAAAAAGCCTGAAAGGGTATGAAATCATATTGTAAAGGTTTGAAGTGTAAATGGAAGTAGGGGAGTTAGAGACAGAGATTCTCATGGCAGGATCCTTGATTTTCTTCTGTATTGGGTTCTGAGGATCACTGGGCAGATTCATAATGTTGATTGGTAGTTCTGTGACCTATATGAGACCCTGAATGTCTGAACCTGTTTATTGACTAGACATAAGTAGATTCATATTGTTTTCTTGAATTGGACTTGTGCCATCCATGTGTTAGTTCTGACTCTGATCTTCCCATTGTCTTTCACTACCACTGTCTTGACTAATACTGGGTTTCTGATGTTTTCTTGTTGTGGATTCAGTCTGTATAGATGATTGTCTATGAGATGACCTAGATTGTCCATAAATAGACTCATATTTCTCTGTGGTGAGCCGCTTCTGCCGTTTCTGCAGACTATGGTCGCCATTACAAGATGGCGCTGGCTCCGCTGTGGTCTGTGACAAACAACTCCTTATTTGGGAGAGTTGGCGCATGGTTTTTCACCACCCTATGAGAAAGCTCCACGTGGCAGCTTCTCATTGGGGCTTGAGATGCTTTATTAAGGCTGGGAGGGGCATCCGAGAGAGAGAAGAAGAAATATCAAGGGCCTGAATAAACTGCTGAAAGAAGATTCCTGAGTTGCGTCTTCCTTGCGGGCAAGGGGTCGCGACATTTCTCTTTTATTGGGATTATATTCTCTATGAGTAGACCCAGATTGCCTATGAGTAGATGTCTACCCTTGATAGAATCCTGGGCTGTCTTCTGATTTCCTATGCTGAAGTAATCTCTTTCTCTTGTGCTAGATCAAACTCCCTATGGCCATGCCATGCCTAGACTTATCAGGGAAGAAAATGACTCTGTTTCTCTGTCTTTTGATTTTCCTTTTGGGTCTGAACTATAACTAGATCCTCTTTGTCTACTTATGTTGGTCTCAGTCTGTGTAAATGATTGTGTGTGAGTAGACTGTGAGTATTCATAGCTGTCTCTTATTTGCCCATGGCTAAATTGTATACTTTTGGTGCTGGATTTTGGCTATCCATGTGTAGGTCCAGATGGCCTTCCAATGTATATCTGTTCTTGATAAGAGTCTGAATGTCTAGACCCGTCTTCTGACTCTTGTGTCTCAGCTCTCTATACTCTGACTCAGTCTATCCATGGATGGTGATTGGATCTTCAGTGTGTGTATATACTTGATCCAGAACTTATAGATACAGATTATCTCCAAGAAGATCTGGAATACCTAGAACAATTTCCTGGTTGTTCATAAAAGTTACATGTTATATTGGACTCAGATTCTCCTTGACTGGATCCATAATATCCATGGATTATTGTCTGGCCATGTTAACATCCTGACTGTCTAGAAAAGGCTTCTCACTTTCTATGGCTATCATCTTGACTTCCTCCTGTGTTGAACCATGGTTGCTTATGATAATGTTCAGATGATCATTGGTGAAAGGTGTCAGTCTATGTCAGTCTTCCTGATTGTCATTCACCATCACTATACTGACTACAACTGAATGCCTGTTTGCTGCTTATACCAGTAACAGATTATGTGGATGTAGATCCTGAATGTTCACTGCTATCTCCTATCCATGGTTAGATCCTGTCTCTCTTTTCTGCTGGAACAGACTTTTCATGGGTTAATACTGATTCTTCATCTGAGTTTCCTGATTGTCCTTCATCAGCCTGCTATAAGTGGATTCTTGTCTACTTGTACTGGCTTGAGAGTATGTTGGTAATGACTATCTAGGAGCAGACTCCAAGCATCTGTAGTTATCTTCTGTGTCTTTGTGTTTTACTGGACTCAGATTCTCCATGATTAGACCCAAACTATCCATGAATTTATGTCTGACCATTTTAAGACAGAACTAATCATCCAGAGCTGTCTTCTATCTGTTCATGGCTGGCTCTTTCTTTCTGGTGTTGGGTTATGATCAGCTGTGTATAGATTCAGACTGACCATTAGTGGATATCTGGCTCTAAAAAGGCCTAGAATTGAAAGTGATAGAGATTTTCTTAAGTTTCTGTAAGTGGATTTTTTTCTTTTTTCCCCCCCTCTTGTGCTAGAGCCCATCTGTCTTTGTTCATATTCAGACTGCCCATTGGTTGATTCTGACTCTCTCCCTCTGTCCACAGTTTGTATTTTGTCATCATTGTCCTGATTATAACTGAATCCTTGACATGTGCTTATAGTGAATCCAGAATGTGTTAATAATACTTGTCTGTAACTTTACCCTTAAGATTCAGTGCTGCCTTTTGATTGTCTATAAGTGGACCCATTTCTTTCCCTTGTGTCTAATACAGGCTATTCATTGGAAGATCTGGGTTGCCTCTGAGTAAGTGACAATCCTTATGCGTTCCTGGCCTAAGTTTTGACTGTTTGTGGCTAGAACCATCTTTTTTATTATGCTGGATCCATACTGCCCATGTTCATATAGAGCTTGTCCATGAGAAAAGAGTGACTAGCTATCTTAGTCTCCTGATTGCCCTTTATCATTAAACTGAGTACAATTAGATTTCTGCTGTCTACACTACTGCTGATTTTATTCTGATCCTAGCCATCTTACACCTGGATTATTTCTAGAAGGTTTATAATTAGCTTTTTCCTATATCTAAGGTCTCTCCACACCAGTCTTTTTCCTACACCCCTGCTGGATTCATTTTCCAATAAACAAGTGTTATTATCTCACCTGCCTTAAATCTCCTTTGCCTATAGAATATATTCCAAATTTCTTAAGTTGGCATAAAAACCTCAAAATCAGGCATGAATCTTTTTTTTTTTTAAGCCTCCTTCCCTACCACTTGTCTCTTATGGGATTTGTTCCTTTGAATGGTGCCAACCATCCTTGATCACTTATGGCCTAATATCTTTGTAAATGCTATTTTCTCTATAATTTTCTTCTCCACTAGACAAATTGTCTTATATATTCTGTAAGATCTGGCTGGAAATGTCTTCTCTTTTATAATACTCTCTCTGACTTCTCCTGCAATTCAAGTCATTCCCTCTAGTGAAATCAACTTGCATCTACGTAGGGTTCTCCTGTAGCACTTGTCATACATTATAATTGTTTGATCATATGTCTGTCAGTCAACAGTCCCCATCCCCAGACCCTCATATCCATGCCAGTAAGATATGGTTAATAGATATTGTATGAGAAATAATTTATAATGGTTTGGGAACTGTAGGGAAGTAATAGACTATCTTATTGGATCCACAATATATGATAGCCTATTAAAGGCTCTGACTCTGAAAAGCTCTGTAATATCTGAGACTCTGTGTCTTACTGGAGTTTTTAAAATGTTTTAAACACTGGAATCCTTTTTCCATAATTTTATTAATACATTGCCTGGAGCCATCCATGAACTGTGTGTGAACAAAAGCGATGTTGAAATCCTTAGGCCGGAAAGCCTCCTCAGGAACTCCCAGTAGCAACCCTGCTGGTTTGAGAATGTCTGTTTCATGTAGTGTCCTGCCTAGCTCCATCTCAAGTTCAGCACAGCACCAGAGATGGAGTGACCCGCTTCAGCCACACAGCATCTCGGAGATGGGTGTGGCTTGCTAAAATGCCAATCAATCTGTTTACTGCAAGACCTCTGCCACACTGAGAACCAAGCACTGAACCAAGACTCTTCCCGCTGAAACATTCTCTCTGCCTTTGATTTATTCCCCCTTAAATAAAGAATCAGGGGCCCTTTTTCAGTTGTTCAGTTCCAGCTCCTGTCAGGACTGGAAGACCCATCAGACGCTCCCCTTTTATATCTAATTTTTGGCTCTGACTTTATTTCTTACTGATTATTTCAGACTTTTTATTTCCCAGAT